AAAATATGCTTCGAGTTTGATGTGCCAATTATGGCTCAATCATAAAATAGACAATATAATTTTATTATTTGAATATTGTTACAAAATTTTGGAAATGCAAAAGAATGATATTCTTTTCAACATAAATTTTACTATAGTTAATATAAATAATATAATATTGTTCTATATAAACCTATCTAGAAATAAGCTTTTCGTTTCTTAATGTTTTCTTTTCAAAAGTCATCGAATCACATTAATTCTCAACATATCCGACGTTTGAATTAGGTACATTGTTAGATACAATCACGATTATTAAACGTCAGCTTTAATAAAACATTTTTCTTGTCATACACATTGTCCATGACCTTATATTCATAAATAATGAACAACATAGTTTCTCAATATGAGAATAGAACTCATCCGAAAAGTAAAATTATCAAATACTTACTGTATTTATAATATTACTGTATATAATTGAGTAGTTAAGCGTGAATGTTGGATTAAATAATTAGTATTTGGTAATTTAATAGTTCATTGCATGTTGGATTAATTATAGATTTAAATGTTACCTATGAATTCAACCATCAAGACATAAAAGCAATTGAACTACCATGAAAGACAATTCATACTATTTAATTTGTTAATTTTCGTAAAATTGATAATTAAAATCCGAAGATTTCAATGTGAGATGTCTATTTTAACTCTGTGGTAATTTGCATTTGGAAAGTTTTCCATTCATAACCTATTGATTTATATAAGCATATACTTGTTGCCTACAACGTTTTCAGTTATTTGATGGATATTTGTAATTTTATTATCAAATAATTGCGAAAATTCAGTATAAACCTATATTTTTTGAAACCCTGGGACAATCTGGGACAAAAGATCGACATTCAGGACAAATATTGCTTCTAGAAAAACCCGGGACACAAGTTGTAAATCTGGGACTGTTCCGGCCAAACTGGGACGTATGGTCACCTTAAGAGAGACATTGGTTTTCTCTTAAAAATATAAATAGCAATATGTTTCCGAGTGAAAATGAATTTTCAAAATAGGTATTGATTGATGCATTAATAAAAATGCAGAAATTTTCATAATCAAACTCGTTACATAGAGATGGGACAACTTTTTGACTTGCCATCTATAAAAGCCAACGCATATAATAAGGTCAAACATCTCACCAGCTTATATTATCTTTAAATTCTGATCACTGTTAAAATGATATATTCGAAAAAAAAACTTTTTTAGCCTTTTTTATACTAACATTGAGAAACTATGTTTCAAAAAACTATTTATATCAGTAACAAAACCGTTCGGGCGGCGACTCATCACATTTTTCCCCGACCTTGTAAAAGCAGCTCCTAAGGCCGCAGTCGAACACATTCATAATTGATATGATCGACGTTTATTGATTTCCGGACAGAAATATACCACGGACAGAACCCGATGCATGTAGGATATCATTAAATTATAGAGAACAGACATTTTGACCCTGAAATATTCTCAATGACCGAAGCGATAAACATTTATTGGAGTATTTTTAGATACTAATAAGAGTTTACATATGTAATTGCTACGATGTAATAGAAGTACTTTAAGTATTTAAGTGCCCTTGCTAAGGTCGTGGAAATTCGATTCTATGAGAACTGACCATGTGGGGGTAATTAATTGAAATAAACTTTTTAGGGTTTAAATATTAATTTCGAGGTTATTTATTGATATTAAAATGTATATTATACCTATACCTTCTTAGAAATTTATTTTCTTCTTCGTGAAGAATTTAAAAATAATTATGTATATTTTGCTGTATCTAAGAACTTTGATATAGAAATGCTATTCTTTGGAGTTAATGCTTCAAATTCATATTTTGTTGCCAAAACTTTAAATATAAAATGTTATGGTTCTAAACATAATTTTGCAGAAATGAGAACAATCCTAATATTACTATGATGATAATATGTCATATAAAGGTTTTTGCAATAGGCTACCCTTTTCATGCTACGTAATTTCGAATATATTAAAACATTTCAGTTTATTTATAATTGATGTAATTCTTTCAACTTATCAGCATAACCTTAAAAATGTATGCAGACATTACACATGCAATATTTTGGTACAATGTATGCATAAGAACATTCATATTAAATATTGTGATTATATAAATTACATTGAGGCATGCAAATATGTAAAGATTTCTGTAATATGCTACATTTTCCAAGCTATTTCTATTACTTTTAGAGTGATACAGATTTTCACAATTCACAATCGAATTTTAACGATTTATTTATAGTTTTTATAATTTATTTAATGTCTCAAATTTATTATTATTTCCATAGAAATTTATGCGAACATTAAATACACCTGCGCTTCTTTTATATAATATATATGCTTAAGAAAATTTATATTAAATATTTATGCCTTTCCTCCATTTGAATTTGTAATATATAGTTTACCTTTCGACCTTTTTTTAGCATTTTAACTCTTTATATCAGAATATACGTTGCAGAAACATTTTTATGTCGACGCCTGCGATTTTACTACCTCCGTAAAATATATCAAATATTTTATATGAGAAACTACCGATCTTTTAAACGTGAGTAAAGAAAAGATGAAATGTGACATTTTGAAATAAATTGTGAGAGAAAATCATATTGATACTAACTAACTATCAATACGATATTTTAGGTAATTGTTTTAGATTTGATGATTTTATTATCACATTTATGATTTTTATTAAAAGCATACAATATTAAATTTGCGTATTCTCGAAAAAACTAACAAATCGGTCTTAATAATATAATGATGATACCTCGATTTCTGTCAAAATCTTTCACAAGAAGTTTAGTAGGGAAGACTGGATACCGTTGGGCCAAAGGGGGAAAGACGTAGTATATTTATTTAAACATTTTTCCATTATTATTTTCAGTCTGCATCCTACAAATGTTTATTTTATATTTTAATATTATGTATTTATTAATTTTCATTAATATTGACTTTTGTAAAGTGTCATATTTAGTAGCATCACCTAAATTATATTCTTGATGAATTTAATATAATTTTAACGTAGGGAGGATAAATTTAAGGATGACAAGAAAAAATCTTCAAGCAGAAAGGACAAAATGCTTGAAATACAAAATTACCAACCATGACTGTATAATAATTAATTATTCATAAATCTAAGACACTTATGCTTGATTAAGAAGCCTATAGTTTTTACAATATAAAAAATGATACAAAACGTTTACATCTAATTAACATAGGTTTTACCTAGTATTAAACAATATATCACAGCCACGTCCTTCCGTTTTTCCGTTGTCGTTCGTTCATATTTCATGAGCACAACCATTAAATATTCGAGTGTGTGCATGTGTCTACAACAGGAGTATTTGCAATACCAGCATTCGACATAAATTATTGACGAATAGGATTCACACAGACCTTGGCCTATCAGAAACAGAATTATAGTGGTGCTCCATGTAGGAAAAGAAGTTTTGCTTCGATTAATCGATATTTATTTATTTATCTTCTCATACATATTTGGTATTCCTTTCTTTACCAGAAGAACTTTCCTTCATACAAAATATCAGGAAGCCATCATTCATTTATAAATTCACTTTGTCACAAAATAACATTTAAAATGTGATCTATATACCAATTCTATGAACAGCACCTTGGTGGTGCAACAACTAAATATATTAAATTTCATTACTATCGATATTGTACAGTTTTAAGTTTATATTCGAACTATATAATATTTCAATGTATTTTAAATTTAAATTAATTATATAATCAAATGATATCACATAAACTATTCAATTAAAAATTTAATAGATTTCGATTGGTAGTCAGCAACCTATGATAGAAATCTAGTATTCATTATATATATGATAGTATCTTAGAGTATCATATTTCTCTTTATAAATCCAATTATATTTGCTGCGAGTTATTGATACTTTTCATCGACCATCAAAGTTTAATGGTTTCAATTAATAGAATCTGGTACCTATACTATGCTATACTTTTCAGGAAGCTCAGTAAATTGATATAGTCTATACAATTTTAATTAATAATCAGCATATTTAAAATTATCATCAGTAGGAAAATATGCAGCCAGCCAACTGATTGAACTCAATTTACTACAAATCCATTTATGTGCACTTTTTGGAGTTGAGCAAATAAGAAAAAAATCTACTCATGGCAAAAGCAATTTCGCCGACATCGTCAATACTTTGATATTTTTATTATGGCTTGGCAGACTAGATTTTGTGGTATAAATACACTCACTTGGGAAATCACATACTCTGTCTTAGGGACCATAGAAAGAGTGTGGTATTATAGATTACGGTAAACAACATCTAACAGAAACTGAAATGTGGACTGATTCTCTTATATATCAATCGATTCGGTTTTCAAGTGACTTAGAGGTGGGCTTTTCCAAATACACGCGGATTCTTGAGGAGAATTACTGAATTCTGAAGTTGCTTCAGCGTAACCACGAAAATGTTTTGTTTTCATTCAAGATGTTTGAAAATATTTTGTGTGTAATGTAATAACATGTATTCGGTGTTATCGCAATGTTCCACCTTTCACAATATTGATGTAGTGATATTTCGGCTTTGAGAATATGCCAATGTTTTGAAAACAAACCCTTTGAACTGTTTCAAAAATCTATTTTCTGAGTAAACAGCATACTTTCCTAAATTAATTAAATGCTTTAAGATGGTATATTGTTTTTAGCTGACAATAATGTAAATATAAGTATAAATTAAGCATTTCAAAACAAATAAATAGCTTATATATTAAACCTGAATGAAATTTATTTTGTTTTTAATTATAGCCAATATTTAGGAGGAATTGTATGGCTCCATTGTCATAGCCTCATATCTCTCAAATGGGCAAAAATTCGTTTAGAATTTTTTTCATAAACTCAATTTAAGAAATTTTAGAATTATAATTATATACGATATATGATTATAATTATAAAAAAAATTGTAATTAATTTCTGTTCTCTTTATTTCCAGATAAAGTCCGCAAGAAGTACACTTCGCTCGGGGACAGCGTCCTGTCCGTGCAGCTAGAACGCGGTCCATCCGGCCTCGGACTCAGCCTTGCGGGTCACAGAGACCGCACCATGATGGCCGTTTTCGTCTGCGGGATGAATCCGAGTGGGGCGGCAGCCAGGGGCGGACAGGTCAAAGTGGGCGATGAAATACTAGAGGTATGTTAGAGAGATAGATGATAGCCTTGTGATATAGACACTTTATCTAACGAGCGAGGAATTTAATATTGATGGATTCTTTTTAACTAAAGTGATATTTTTTAAGTCAAAACCCGGATGGTAATTTTTAGTTATGCTAATCCGAGACGGGGAAGGGGGCTAATGACAAACGCTATTTGAAGATACAAGAAAAAAAAATTATTTGAAACTATTTTTTTTAATCACAATTACGTGCTTTTAGTAAGAACTTTTTTATTCTATTATATGTAATTCATTTTTTAAATATGATATTGAGGTTTTTTCCGTTTTTAAGCCTTGAATAAAATGCTATTCAATTTTCTTCATAACTAATTCGAAAAAAATAGCATTTGTTCTTTTTTTTAATTTTTGTTTGTTAATTTACGTATTAATTAAAAATCTAAATCTGGGACAAGTATAGCTTTTAGAAAAACAAGGTGGAAACCCTGGACTGTCCCGGACGAACTGGGACGAATGGTCGCCTTATTTTTATCATGCTTGCACCCTTGCACCACAATTAATTTTAGTTAAAAATTACGATTTTTCAACATCTTTAATGTTAGAATGAACTGCAATCTTGTAGTCTTGATAAAAATCAAATAAATTTGATTTTACTAATAAAGTAAATATACCTAGCACATTTTGCACAGTTCTGTAGGATAAAAATATTCAATTATGCCCTATTTTTTTATATAACGAAAAAATAACTTTATCGCAGTTATATTATTTCAAAAAGATTGAGGTTTTGTGTTCTGCATATTTAACATTTAACATTTATCTATAAAATCGAGAACTTTACGACAGCGTGTTATTGAAATTTTATATTCTTAATCTATTAATTCATCTTTATAATTCGGAAGCATATATAAATAGTGTAAATTGTGTTATATTTTTATGGTAGTAACTCATAATATTTTGAATTTTTGAATTTTATGAACTTATAGGGATTTAATCAAGTTTCTCTTGGTCTTTTTTCGATAATCTATTCGCTGTCTTGTATCTAAATTTGCAGAAATCATCATAAGTAGAATAGACAATTCCAAAACGTTGCAGTAATTGTGAACAGTTTCGACGGATAAAATGATTGCATATGCTCTAATCTCTAATATAGTGCTCCTAAACATAATGTTATCATATTTCACTTATCTTGTGATTTTTTAAGACTATAAAATCGTGCTATATTTAAATTTCATCGATAGAATGTCATTGGAATCTTCAAATTTGCATAAAAATATATTTAAGAATTTGTCTCTATATTTTTGAAGCATGCTTTAATAGAGAATATAAATGAAAATATATGCTAAAATATTTTTAAGTTGTAAAATGTAATATTGTAGGGAAATTCGATACCTTAAATTTTTTTCTTAGACCAAAGTTTATTTGCTGTCCTTAATTACGCAATTCCTAAGTATAGTAGGCATATCGAACACACTGGAAAAGTTACTAAAAATAATTTTGAATATCCTTTGTTTTCTATCTTGGGCAAAAACATAACTCATGTTTTATTTTGTTGGAATTTTGTGATTTTTTAAGATTTGTAAAAAATAAAATGTGCTTCATTTTCCTATATGTTGTTTTAAAACATAAATTTATTATAGCCGAATTTTATGAAAAAAATTAAATTCTAGCATTTTTGTTTTACATATTTACATATTTATCTATAAAATTAAGAGCAATGTGGTAAAATGTCTTTGGAATTTAAATCCTTGAAAATGCGTAAGAATATAGTTTATGAATTTGTCTCTATAATTCTGAGTAGTGTTATATTTATGGATGTAACTCACAATACTTTTATGTATTAAAGTCTAATATTTTAAGGACTTGTGGAGATTTAGTCCACCTTTCCTTAGTCCTCTTCCCAAAGCCTATTACCTCGTTGCCCTGTACCTCGTGTATTTAATTAACTCAGCCGATTGCGATCAAGCGCGAGTCTGATCCTTGTCGTCTAATCACCTCGAATGTTCACAGGTGAACGGCATCGTGTTGCACGGACGTTGTCATTTGAACGCGTCTGCCATCATCAAAGGATTGACAGGGCCAGTGTTCAAATTGATTCTCTTACGGTGAGTTGAATTGTCTTATAATAATTAGTTAGAAACTAGTAATTTTGTTTTCCTTTTTGAAACATGATGAGTCTACATACGAAACGTCATATAAAAACGATAAAAAATAGCAATTTTAAATAGTTTTTTTTTATTATTTATTGGCTTTTGATATGCATCATAAGGCCAGATGCCATCCTTACAATTGTTTACTGCAAATTCTTATTAAATCATTAACTTATAATTTTAAATAGTTATTATTTTTTAATGCGCGATAATTGTGAATTGCAAAACTTTGTATTAAAACAATAGTAGTTGGCAACTAATGTTAGGATCTACATTTTCAATTATGCATAGGGTAAAGCAGGGCTTAAAAGCCCGCGAGTATAAAGGTCGATCATTATTATTTCTAATAAAAAATTTTGCGATACTATTTCAAAGTATAAAGCATAAGATGTGTAACTAGCCACCACCTTGATCACTATCAGGAGATAAACGGCCATGTATCAAGATTCATAACAAAAGTAATTTTTGTTTAGTGGTAATTTTTTGGATTTGAGTTTCATTTAGTTTGATACTTGAATATAATTTTAAGTGTACGTTATTTAATCGTTTTATAAGAGGTATTATTATTTATTGAAGATAGTTTCATCAAGGGTTTTACATACAGCTTTTATAAAAGCTTGCATGTGGGTGGGGTAAAAAGCAGCAACCAAACCTTTACCCTGGCAAAGGTATAAACAATAAGAAAATATTGACTAAAAAAATAAACTAAGTTGGAAAACAATATTACCAGTTATAAGTTCAATTAATAGTTATATTACAGCTCTGCTGATGAACATTTCTGTACCAAATTCTGCTATACTTATATACCAAATCAAGGTTAAATGTAGTGTATTTGTAAAAATGTTCCTACAAAAGTATTTTGCATTGGTTGAGTGATGTAGCTATATTTCGTAAAATCCTTTAAAAATTAAAAATAAAACATTGGATCATCTTGCCCTCTAGCTGTACCTTTTTACCTATAGGATAAAAAGGACAGATAAGAAACTTTAGAAGAACAGTAAAAAATATATTTCTATAACCAGGAATTAATTGCGATTTTTACTGAACATAGTTTGATATGTATCATGTGATGTAGTTCATTTGATTTAGGCAGTATAATTACTAATAGTCAAATTGGACCCCCCTACTCGTTTTCAGAATCTTTTCAGTCTACTTAATTTAAATTTATTTTCATTTCAATATAAACAGGTTTATGAATTTAAATAATTAATCTAAATCGATTTAAATTTAGACGATTTTTTTTTATTTATTTACTTTCATTCAGGTATTGACAAGTGGAATATATGCATACCTAACACAATGGATCACCACCATGTTCAATATTTAATTAATTATATTTTCCTGTATTTTGCTCGTCGATTCATTTCTAAAGCAAGTTATTCTATATCAGATTCTACCGCAAAAATTGTCGATAAATCAGAATTAGTGATAAAAATAAATGAATACGATTTTGCGGATGCTGACTTATTTCCCTTGTTCTATTTTGTAAAAGGCTCTTCGTGCGCCACTCCATAGACAATTGTTCTGCGTTCACAGCACTTTTTCAGCCAACACAATTGCGGATGTGCTCTGAGTGCTCAAGTTGCACTTACTGTAAGTGGGATGGTAAAAGCATTAGGGAAAACTAGAAACAAATTACGAAATATTTTAGTATAATTAAATATTGCGGCATATACTTATTTAAAGGTGGAAATCAATCTATCAATAATAGTAAAAAGTCAAGGGTGAATGTATTTATCATAGTAACGAGAGCGCTTTCTTTATAGTTGCTGTGAACTGATATTGCCAAGAGAAAACATATGTCTCTGAGTTATAAAATATTCTATATACTCTGAATGTATTACATTTTTTATTAGTTTTTTTGTTAATAGAGAGAATTTTCAGTTACTTCTTTTAATATTAATTATTAAAAGAAGTAGCTGAAAATTCTAGGATATTTCTAAGTTAGCTATAGTTAAATTTTCATTTAAAGATGCCTACATATTTATCAATTCTCCAAAACAGAAGTTCATTATTGGTTTTAAAATTCATGTTGCTAATGTTATGTTTTTTCGACGTCTCAAGTAGTTCTAAATTATTTGAGACTGAAAGTGGAAACTTATGCATTTGTGTTTAAGCCAAAAATTGTACTTTTGTCTACGTTTTCTACAAAAACGGCTACACCGATTTCAATAAATTTTGATAAAACACGATAAGGACTGGGGGTGATAAGGTTTTGCTAGACGGTTGGCTGAGCCACTTTTTTAATTAGAATGATCAGAAAAGTTCAAACTTTTTCGTCAACGTTTTTTCAAAAAAATTCTGAACTGATTTTGAAAATTCAAAATCGTTCGAAAGATATCAGATGGAGATCGCGCTGATTGGTTAAAAAAATCTTGCGTTTTTAATAAAGCAGAACTTGTCGATAAAGTTCATAGTCCAAACATCATAAAATATTATAGTCCTATGAAAATTGGTTGACTTCAAAAATAATGAACCACGCTTTTAGAACAAATAATACAATAGCAGATATTATGAGCCTGTGTTAAAATAAAAATTGTATTAATTAGTTTTTAGTGAAAGAAAAAATAAATTTTTGAAATAAAAGGTTTACCCAAATACGATTTTGCAACTTGTCTTAAGGAAAATTTACAACTAAACCTAGTTTAAAATATTGATCTTTATGACTATATATTATAGATTTACAAATAAATAATTAATGTGAGTTTCCTTCAATTCCGACGTTAGAACTTTCCACGTCTCATTATTCTAGTACTCAGTCTGAGGATAGCCCTTCAAGCTTCTCAAATTATTTATAAAATCGCTCCCCATTAAGATTCAATAAATTCATCCGATTCGATTAAAACTTATTCAGTATTTAATCTAAAATTCTACTCGTTGGCCACGAGTTTCTTAACAATCTTTACAATTTCTTAATTGCTCAACACAACACAATAGATCGTCGTACATAATTTTAAATGGGAGCTGAAGAGAGGTTGGCTTGGGTCCTCTTCTAAATCATTCTTCTAATTGACTTCCCGAAGAATTAATCGGCGCGTAATTAAACACGATCCAACAGATTAATGGAACGGAAACCCATGAGAGGAATTTGTTTTGCCTTTGTAGACCTGAAATCGTTTTAAAATCTGCGATAGTCAAACTTTTTAATCTAGAAAATTTATTATACTAACTAGCCTAATGAAACACATTTTTTATTAGGTGCATGAGATTTTGTCTTTACTTCACGATTAATAAAGTCTAATTTTTAATTAAGCACTTACTGCTATTAATTCTGTTGTAATATTTTTAAAATTTAAATAATATAAGGGAAGCCTATGGGAGGAATGTATTTTGCCGTTGACTAAACTATAGTACCAACTAACCTATAAATGACCGATTTTTTTCTTAATTATTAAAGTTAACACCAAAGGCTATTAATTCTGATGTAATATTTTTATAATTGAAGAATGTATGAGAAATTTACGAAATGAATTTGTTTTGCCTTTGTAGATCTGAAATTGTTTAGAAATATGCGATTGTTAAACTTTTTTAGATATCTACTTTGCAATATATTACATAAACTCGGGTAATGAACCATATATGGGAATATTTTGAAGTTAATTTAATTCAATTGAATTAACACTCATTACTAATTCTGATGCAACAGTTTTAAAATATGAATGAGGATATTTAATTTAAAGCAGTAATTTTATTTATAACGTTTTTAGTTAAATAATAACGAAAATAAATTAAACAGTCTATTATGATGCAACAAACATAATGTTTGAAGTAAATGGCATCAATTGAATTTAAAAAAAATATCAAAAACTTAGTATTATTTAAATTAACATTAAATACTATAAATCCCACATAAATATACATGGGTTATTAAAATATCTGTCCTAATAATTAAATTTTCTATTTTTTATGATGATGTTTTAGAGCTTCTGATCCGCCTTTGTTTTTGTTACTTTCAATGTTTAATTAAAACTTTAAGACAGGTTACTTTAGCAGCTTAGGTAAATATAATAACATTCTTCACCAGATATGTGTTCACGATATATATCTTCTAATATTAGGTAACACATGTTACAACATATATCATGATTACCGAAACTTTGTTCGGATATTTCTCAGTGTGTTCTTGTAATTAATCATTTCGATATTAATATTAATTATATCAAGGTACTAAGATATGTATATTCGCATTCTTATTGTAAAAATGATATTCAAAAAGCACTATCTGTGTGCATTAAAATTTAACTCAGACTGACTAAGAATTAGAAAACATTTGTAAAATTATGTAAAATATTCAAACTTAAAAAGTATATCTGCAAATACAATATTTTTAGTAGTATTGATCGTCTTAGATTGGCACCCAACTAAGTGCGGATTTTTGTTAGAAAATTAAGACTTTTTTCATGCACTTTGTTTAATTGAGCACTTTGAAGCAGCATCACTATGGCACGTTTATGGAACTTCTGTTTTTTATTAGTAAAAAACTGAATCAAGTACAATTGGACGCCATCATCATTATTGATTTTTTTCAAGTTCAAGAAGTTTTGTAAAAATCGAATCTACAACTAATGAGATGATGTAATGTCAGGACTATATGCTAGATTTGGCAAGACATCCTGACCAAGCTCCAATAATTTTTGCCGAGTGGCGAAAGACATGTGATGTCAATAATGGAATAAAATACTGTTTAGATTTGCCAATTCATGCTGGTTTTTTATAACTTCATTATTTAGGCATCAGAATTGATGATTTGATTGGTGATAACAGTTCAAAGTAAACCATTCCTTTTTAATGAACTTCAACTGGACTACCAGAGTTCAAATATTAATATTTGAGTGAAAAATCACCAAACGAAATATAGCAAACTAATTTCGACACAACACTTCGACGCCATAAAGAGTTAATAACTTTTTTTGAGCTTAAGATGCCTTTCCACCTTTGCAGATATGAAGAAGCAA